CTAGAACCAGGAAGTACGATCACATTAGTCCTGACTAGAACCAGGAAGTACGAATCACATTAGTCCTGACTAGAACCAGGAAGTACGATCACATTAGTCTCTGACTAGAACCAGGAAGTATGATCACATTAGTCCTGACTAGAAACCAGGAAGTATGATCACATTAGTCCTGACTAGAACCAGGAAGTACGATCACATTAGTCCTGACTAGAACCAGGAAGTACGATCACATTAGTCCCTGACTAGAACCAGGAAGTACGATCACATTAGTTCCTGACTAGAACCAGGAAGTATGATCACATTAGTCCTGACTAGAACCAGGAAGTACGATCACATTAGTCCTGACTAGAACCAGGAAGTACGATCACATTAGTCCTGACTAGAACCAGGAAGTACGATCACATTAGTCCTGACTAGAACCAGGAAGTACGATCACATTAGTCCTGACTAGAACCAGGAAGTACGATCACATTAGTCCTGACTAGAACCAGGAAGTACGATCACATTAGTCCTGACTAGAACCCAGGAAGTACGATCACATTAGTCCGCTAGAACCAGGAAGTACGATCACATTAGTCCTGACTAGAACCAGGAAGTAATGCGATTTTTCACATTAGTCCAGCCCAGTGGGGCGAGGAAGTCGACAGCCATTAAGTTGCTAGCCAGGAAACGACACATTACGTCCCTGACTAGAACCAGGAAGTAGATCAAAACCCAGTCCTGACAAGAACCAGAACCACAAAGTATGATCACATTAGTCCTGACTAGAACCAGGAAGTACGACCACATTAGTCCTGACTAGAACCAGGAAGTACGACCACATTAGTCCCAGGAAGTACGAGTTCCATCAGGTCTCTGCACTGGCTTCCTGTGGCTCAGAGAATAGACTTTAAAACAGCTCTGAGTGTTCCAAGTCTCTCCATGGCCTCGCACCAAAATATATTAGTGACATGTTAGTCCCATATGAACCAGCCCGGACTCTGAGGAGCACAGGGACTGGACTCCTGCTGGGACTCTGAGGAGCACAGGGACTGGACTCCTGCTGGGACTCTGAGGAGCACAGGGACTGGACTCCTGCTGGGACTCTGAGGAGCACAGGGACTGGACTCCTGCTGGGACTCTGAGGATCACAGGGACTGGACTCCTGCTGGGACTCTGAGGAGCACAGGGACTGGACTCCTGCTGGGACTCTGAGGAGCACAGGGACTGGCCTCCTGCTGGGACTCTGAGGAGCACAGGGAAGGGCCTCCTGCTGGGACTCTGAGGAGCACAGGGACTGGACTCCTGCTGGGACTCTGAGGAGCACAGGGACTGGACTCCTGCTGGGACTCTGAGGAGCACAGGAAGGCCTCCTGCTGGGACTCTGGGAAGGGGCCTCCTGCTGGGACTCTGAGGAGCACAGGGACTGGCCTCCTGCTGGGACTCTGAGGAGCACAGGGACTGGACTCCTGCTGGGACTCTGAGGATCACAGGGACTGGACTCCTGCTGGGACTCTGAGGAGCACAGGGAAGGGCCTCCTGCTGGGACTCTGAGGAGCACAGGGACTGGCCTCCTGCTGGGACTCTGAGGAGCACAGGGACTGGACTCCTGCTGGGACTCTGAGGAGCACAGGGAAGGGCCTCCTGCTGGGACTCTGAGGAGCACAGGGACTGGCTCCTGCTGGGACTCTGAGGAGCACAGGGACTGGACCTCCTGCTGGGACTCTGAGGAGCACAGGGACTGGCCTCCTGCTGGGACTCTGAGGAGCACAGGGACTGGACTCCTGCTGGGACTCTGAGGATCACAGGGACTGGACTCCTGCTGGGACTCTGAGGATCACAGGGACTGGCCTCCTGCTGGGACTCTGAGGAGCACAGGGACTGGCCTCCTGCTGGGACTCTGAGGAGCACAGGGACTGGACTCCTGCTGGGACTCTGAGGAGCACAGGGAAGGGCCTCCTGCTGGGACTCTGAGGAGCACAGGGACTGGCCTCCTGCTGGGACTCTGAGGAGCACAGGGACTGGACTCCTGCTGGGACTCTGAGGAGCACAGGGAAGGGCCTCCTGCTGGGACTCTGAGGAGCACAGGGACTGGCCTCCTGCTGGGACTCTGAGGAGCACAGGGACTGGACTCCTGCTGGGACTCTGAGGATCACAGGGACTGGACTCCTGCTGGGACTCTGAGGATCACAGGGACTGGCCTCCTGCTGGGACTCTGAGGAGCACAGAAGGCAGTCCCTGTGCTCTTTTAACACATTTTAAAATTGTTTTATGCCAATTCAAACACATAATTGGGGTTGAAAAGATCAGTGAATTCATATCAGATAAAAAACTATATCATATTGTTTTAATTATTTTTTAAATGATGCTTTGTCTCTAAGAAAATGTCCTTTACAGTTGTGTTATCGCGGTTCGAAAACGGTTGCAAATTATTCATGTGACAACGGCAGGTAAAATTAGCATGAACAGACAGGTGGCCACATACAGTATATTTAAGGCTTCAATATAGGACGAGGAAATGTGGAGATAATGGAATAGTAGGTGATTTAAGCTAATGGCTGTCAGAGAAAGTCAAAGCATCTATAGACAGAGACCGTGGCATGTCGTCAGTCAGCGCGCACCACAGGGCCAAATTAAGGAAGCTTTGGCAGTCTTTTAATGGTCTGTCACAGTCTAACAGGTTTAGAGCACTTACAATAGAGACAGCCACTAAGCCCGACAGCTCCGGCTAATTGTTGAGAACTGCAGCGTGTGAGTGGACTTTCACAGCCGCTTGGAACCTGCAAATATACCCATAATTCTCATTATGAAGACGAGAAGATACACTTCCCCTCAGTAGCCACTCTGTCTCTGCATGTGGCATTAAAGGGCCCTAATCTGTCGTCATTAAAGGGCCCTAATCTGTCATTGTTAAAGGGTCCTAATCTGTCGTCATTAAAGGGCCCTAATCTGTCATTGTTAAAGGGTCCTAATCTGTCGTCATTAAAGGGCCCTAATCTGTCATCGTTAAAGGGCCCTAATCTGCCGTCATCAAAGGGCCCTAATCTGTCATCATTAAAGGGCCCTAATCTGTCATCATTAAAGGGCCTAATCTGTCATCATTAAAGGGCCCTAATCTGTCATCATTAAAGGGCCCTAATCTGTCATCGTTAAAAGGCCCTAATCTCTCATCATTAAAGGGCCTAATCTGTCATCATTAAAGGGCCCTAATCTTTCATTATTAAAGGGCCCTAATCTTTCATTATTAAAGGGCCCTAATCTGTCGTCATTAAAGGGCCCTAATCTGTCATCGTTAAAGGGCCCTAATCTGCCGTCATCAAAGGGCCCTAATCTGTCATCATTAAAGGGCCCTAATCTGTCATCATTAAAGGGCCCTAATCTGTCATCATTAAAGGGCTCTAATCTGTCATTGTTAAAGGGCCCTAATCTGTCATAATAATAAACTGCCCTTTTCCAATACTTCTTTAACTGATAACAGTAGTTCAGAGATATTTGAATTTCTAAATTACTTTTCCAGCCTCTAAATCTTGTTATTGTTTTCATTTCGATTTCCCCCCCTCCACCGTTTCACCAATCAGAAAGTCTGTGATCCGGGCGCCAGAACTCACCGCGTGGAGCTAATCTCACTGGTAAAGTACCATTTAAACAAGGTGCTCCGCTCTGCAAAGAGGACCGTGGGCTGTGAGCTTCCTGTTCTGGAGGTTCTTTATAAATCCAGACTTTTAAACCGTGCTCTTAAAATCATCAATGACTCTTTTGGCCACCCTGGGAAAGCCATGTTCCAGCTTCTTCCCTCTGGCAGAAGATATCGGTCGCTGAGATGCAAGACATCTCGTTACGCTAACAGCTTCTTTCCACAGGCTGTTAGGTGCCTAAACAGAGCACTTTAATTCCTGCTTTTACCTTGTATCGTTTTGTTGATCGATGCCACAGTGTCAGCTGTTTTTTTATTCTTTTATATTCAGTGTATGTGTATTTTATATTACATTGTATCATGCTCTTTCTTCTGTCGGTGCACACAGAGTACCTTTTTTGCGAATGTATTACAATGTAGTTTTTATACTGCACATGGCTAATAAAATGAATCTGAATCTGAATGTGGCGCAGAACTAAAAAAGGTCTCGTTATGATTCTCAAATCATTAACGACAAAACAAGGAATAAAACCAGGATTTCTATCTTTGTGAAAAAGGTGTTGGTTATAGATTTGTTGTTGACAAAACTCTTGTCTATTCAGCTGTTATGGTCCCAGCTGGATTCGTCTGCATATCTGGCAACCTGAGTCAGGGAGAGTGACAGTATTGTTGAGGTAATTGCAGAGCTAGATGTATAATGTAGAAGTATAAATACTCCCCTGACAGCAGTGAAAACATGCAGGACACAAGACCACAAACGCTGCTAACAACTCCAGCACCAACAATAAACAAGCTTCAAGTGTTTTAATTTACAAGTGGTGCCTGAAGAGATCAACAAAGCAGACAAAGCCGTTTGTTACGAAGGCACTCGAAGGCCACGGATGCACATGGTTCACAGAGAGCGGACAAGGTGGTGGCAGAGCTGCAGAAACAGTCGGCAGAATCGCAGCTGCATGACCTAGAATGTGTTTGACAATCTTCTTTTAATTAGGCCTTGAAGACACGACTGAATCCAAGCGCGGTCCCAAGAGCTAAATTAATTACGGAGACAAAGCCCATTCCAGCTCATGGCAAAGATGAATCATTGCAGTATTTGGGGAACGAGCAACGTTTTTCATCTCGGGCCTGATAAAAGAGACTTATATATACGTTAATGTGCTTTCTGTCAAAGTCTTCTTCGGTCTTCTGCGGCTCAAGCACACCGCTCTTCCCACTAAATTCCTTCTCTCATCTTTCCAATTTGTCAATTTTAGAACGGAAAGACTTGGGCTTCATCCAAAATATTTCAACATCCTTATCCTCTCTGCAGTAACGGCTTCATTGCATTCTCCGGGTGGTCCGTACTCGCCCAGGTTTGACTTTGTACCTGCCATTAGCTGCGACTGCCATGCGCCCAGCACCGTCCGTTCAGCTAAACGACTGTGTCATCTGTCAGCTGCTATAAATGAGTGTTTGTGAGTTATGACCAATTAAGCTAATCACAACACCGAGGGTTGAGCCAGAGCAGGGCTATCCCGACGAGAGATAGATGGAGAGCAGCTAATACTGACCAGACTAAACTAAACTGCTAATTTATGCATAGACTTGTATAATGGGATCTATTCTAAATTGTTGACACTTTTGACTCAATAAAATGACGGATTTCTACTATGAGAAAGGAATAGTTTATTGTCCAAGCACAACATTAGTTCCAGTGGTATTACCATGTGTCTGGATGAGGTGTTACTAGCTTATAGCTGAGGGACCCATCGGGGGATTCTCGCGGTATTAGACTAAATCAGACTAAATTCAGTTCCGCTAATCTTTCGGCGCCCATGTTACTGAGCACATGGCATTGTTTTGAATTGGACGCCATCTTGGATCGACAGGGCTTGGGCATTAGCCAAAAAGTAGAAAAAATGTGAAACTCAGATAAGTGGGTAAAGCAACGGGCTAAAAAATAACAAAGACAGATGAAGATTGTGACTGGGCTCAAAATGTTTGTCTATGAAAAGCAGAGACTTCAACTGCCTCTGCTCTGATTGGACGAGCACGGATCACCAGAATGATTGACAACTGGGAGGACCAATAATCTTGATGATCAAAGCCTTCACCCTCGACCAATCACACAGCGCTTTACCTGGACCTCACGCCTTCAGTACCTGGACCTCACTCCTTCAGTACCTGGACCTCACTCCTTCAGCACCTGGACCTCGAGCCTTCAGCACCTGGACCTACTCCTTCAGCACCTGGACCTCACTCCTTCAGTACCTGGACCTCACGCCTTCAGTACCTGGACCTCACGCCTTCAGTACCTGGACCTCACGCCATCAGTACCTGGACCTCACTCCTTCAGTACCTGGACCTCACGCCTTCAGTACCTGGACCTCACGCCTTCAGTACCTGGACCTCACGCCTTCAGTACCTGGACCTCACTCCTTCAGTACCTGGACCTCACTCCTTCAGTACCTGGACCTCACGCCTTCAGTACCTGGACCTCACGCCTTCAGTACCTGGACCTCACTCCTTCAGTACCTGGACCTCACGCCTTCAGTACCTGGACCTCACTCCTTCAGTACCTGGACCTCACGCCTTCAGTACCTGGACCTCACGCCTTCAGTACCTGGACCTCACTCCTTCAGTACCTGGACCTCACTCCTTCAGTACCTGGACCTCACGCCTTCAGTACCTGGACCTCACGCCTTCAGTACCTGGACCTCACACCTTCAGTACCTGGACCTCACGCCTTCAGTACCTGGACCTCACGCCTTCAGTACCTGGACCTCACTCCTTCAGTACCTGGACCTCACGCCTTCAGTACCTGGACCTCACTCCTTCAGTACCTGGACCTCACGCCTTCAGTACCTGGACCTCACGCCTTCAGTACCTGGACCTCACGCCCTCTCACCTGGACCTCACCCTTCAGTACCTGGACCTCACCCTTCACTGGACCTCACCCTTCAGTACCGACCTCACTCCTTCAGTACCTGGACCTCACTCCTTCAGTACCTGGACCTCACGCCTTCAGTACCTGGACCTCACTCCTTCAGTACCTGGACCTCACTCCTTCAGTACCTGGACCCTCACGGACCTTCAGTACCTGGACCTCACGCCTTCAGTACCTGACCTCACGCCTTCAGTACCTGGACCTCACTCCCTTCAGTACCTGGACCTCACGCCTTCAGTACCTGGACCTCACGCCTTCAGTACCTGGACCTCACGCCTTCAGTACCTGGACCTCACGCCTTCAGTACCTGGACCTCACGCCTTCAGTACCTGGACCTCACGCCTTCAGTACCTGGACCTCACGCCTTCAGTACCTGGACCTCACCCTTCAGTACCTGGACCTCACTCCTTCAGTACCTGGACCTCACTCCTTCAGTACCTGGACCTCACTCCTTCAGCACCTGGACCTCACTCCTTCAGCACCTGGACCTCACGCCTTCAGTACCTGGACCTCACACCTTCAGTACCTGGACCTCACTCCTTCAGTACCTGGACCTCGAGCCTTCAGTACCTGGACCTCACACCTTCAGTACCTGCACCTCATTCCTTCAGTACCTGGACCTCACTCCTTCAGTACCTGGACCTCACTCCTTCAGTACCTGGACCTCACTCCTTCAGCACCTGGACCTACTCCTTCAGCACCTGGACCTCACGCCTTCAGTACCTGGACCTCACACCTTCAGTACCTGGACCTCACTCCTTCAGTACCTGGACCTCGAGCCTTCAGTACCTGGACCTCACACCTTCAGTACCTGGACCTCACGCCTTCAGTACCTGCACCTCATTCCTTCAGTACCTGGACCTCACTCCTTCAGCACCTGGACCTACTCCTTCAGCACCTGGACCTCACTCCTTCAGTACCTGGACCTCGAGCCTTCAGCACCTGGACCTCACACCTTCAGTACCTGGACCTCACTCCTTCAGTACCTGGACCTCATTCCTTCAGTACCTGGACCTCACTCCTTCAGTACCTGGACCTCGAGCCTTCAGCACCTGGACCTCACACCTTCAGTACCTGCACCTCATTCCTTCAGTACCTGGACCTCACTCCTTCAGTACCTGGACCTCGAGCCTTCAGCACCTGGACCTACTCCTTCAGCACCTGGACCTCACTTCTTCAGTACCTGGACCTCGAGCCTTCAGCACCTGGACCTCACACCTTCAGTACCTGGACCTCACTCCTTCAGTACCTGGACCTCGAGCCTTCAGCACCTGGACCTCACACCTTCAGTACCTGGACCTCACTCCTTCAGTACCTGGACCTCGAGCCTTCAGCACCTGGACCTCACACCTTCAGCACCTGGACCTCACACCTTCAGTACCTGGACCTCGAGCCTTCAGCACCTGGACCTACTCCTTCAGCACCTGGACCTCACTCCTTCAGTACCTGGACCTCGAGCCTTCAGCACCTGGACCTCACACCTTCAGTACCTGGACCTCACTCCTTCAGTACCTGGACCTCGAGCCTTCAGCACCTGGACCTCACACCTTCAGCACCTGGACCTCACACCTTCAGCACCTGGACCTCACACCTTCAGCACCTGGACCTCACTCCTTCAGTACCTCTCTCTCTCTCTCTCTCTCTGTGTGTCTGTCTGTAACTCTCTCTGTCTCCCTCTCTCTGTCTTTCTCACTGTCTCTCTCTCTGTCTCTATTAACAGGAAGGAAACTCAAACTACAAAAGATAAAGTATTATGGGAAAATTAAACCTAAAGTGTTTTAAATGGACGTTTTAACCATCTCCACCTCTGCTGCTGGGACCTAAAGTGCTGTAGCCTGTTACTACTAGCGACTTTTAGAATAATCTATTTGTTTTGTTTGGACGGATCTGCAGCGTCTTTCCCTCAACTTAAAATAATATGAAAGGTGAACAGTGTCCAGTTGGATATACCAATCCATTTAATAAACTTATTGCCGCAGAAATGATCACAAAAACAATAGTAAAAGACAGAAAAATAAATAATATCTTTGAAGTGTCCTCAGCACCACACCTGAGTCATTATTATCTAGATGTCCCACTAATGCACCTGGCATTTCATTTCCCCGGTGGTCTCCCATCCAAGTCAGCAGTAAGCTCAGCGCAGCCAACAAGAACTGTGTCCAACTATAATCCCAGAGAGAAAGTCATTCAGAGGCGTGTCTTTGAGAGCGATGATGTAAAACGATCCCATCACTTAGAATGACTCATGGTTCTGATCAGATCGATGTCCGTGGATAAAAACATATGACAGAAGAACCATGGATCACACGCATGTCGGTCCAAACGTCTGATTACAGCAGTCGTGGCGTGACCGTGTTTCTACAGCCTCCAAATCAAGAAACACTTTCACAAACATGTGTAATATCAGAGACTGAATGTTGCCAGATTTGACTGTGGCTTTAAGCATCTGGATACAATAGAACAAAGTCTGATGAAAGTGGAAGTAAATCAGCTCTCTTCACTCGGTACCACCAGCAGCGGCAGAACCACAGAACAGGAGTACAGACCATAGACTGTATATATTAACAGACGCAAGCAACAAGAACAATAATACACAGATTTAAAATTCACATATTTTTATGATAAGATAAATATATCACCCTGGAAGCACCAGGAAGTACCATCACATTAGTCCTGACTAGAACCAGGAAGTACCATCACATTAGTCCAGACTAGAACCAGGAAGTATGACTACATTAGTCCTTGTCACTCCCGTATTCGTCCCGGAAACCGGATTCGTCCGGAAGTTCAGTTTGATCCAATGAGCATACGCAGCAGTAGATTACGTCACGGAATCTGGACGGAAGCGGAAGTAAATATAACAAACTACCTATTCATGCCTAAACTTAACCAGCCATTCCCATAAAATAACCCCAACCCTTAACCCTAAACTTAACCATCTTAATCAGACGCCGAAACTTAACTAGTCACCACTTAAGGACATATTAAACTTTTTGACATGCGCAAACTGAACTTCCGGACGAATCCGGTTTCCGGGACGAATTCGGGTACGACCACATTAGTCCAGTTCTCAGGTCTCTGCACTGGCTTCCTGTGGCTCAGAGAATAGACTTTAAAACAGCTCTGATTGTTACAAGTCTCTCCATGGCCTCAAAGTACATCTGTGACATGTTAGAGCCATATGAACAAACTCTGAGGAGCACAGGGACTGGCCTCCTGCTGGGACTCTGAGGAGCACAGGGACAGGCCTCCTGCTGGGACTCTGAGGAGCACAGGGACTGGCCTCCTGCTGGGACTCTGAGGAGCACAGGGACTGGCCTCCTGCTGGGACTCTGAGGAGCACAGGGACTGGCCTCCTGCTGGGACTCTGAGGAGCACAGGGACTGGCCTCCGCTATTGATCATCCACCCCCTATGGACCAATGGCTCCTATATGTTTGTTATTATCACATTTCTTGTTTCCAAACTCTCGATTCTCTAATCTGTGTTAACGAATCCACAAAAGAACACTACTTTTGTGATTTAGAGCTACACAATAATAAACTTTGATTTGACTGTAATTGAACGTCGGCCTCCTCTTTCCGCCAGCTCGTCCCAGACTCGTACCTTGGTGCCCTTGAGCCACCACATGTGCCTTATCACCAGTGAATCTCTGTCTGTAGTGATTACGAAGCCACTGGAGGCAGAGCTGCTTGATCTCGGCTGGATCCTCCGTATAGAAATGTCTTTCTTCTTGGGCGGCACGGTGGCTGAGTGGATAGCACTCTCGCCTCTCAGCAAGAAGGTCCTGGGTTCGAATCCCGGTCGGACCAGGGCCTTTCTGAGTGGAGTTTGCATGTTCTCCCCGTGTCTGCGTAGGTTTCCTCCGGGTACTCCGGTTTCCCCTACCACTAAAAATATGTACAATAGGTCTGGCATGTGCCTCCTGTACTGGCGACCCCGCTCCCATCTCTGTAGAGTGAGAGATAAATGCCCAAAAAAAAAAATATAACCATTGTAAACCGCTTTGTGACTCTGGTCTGTGAAAGGCGGTATATAAATAAACATTACTTACTTACTTACTTACTTCTTTATTTATTCACCTCTCTGGCTCAGAAGACAGACTCTCGCTGAGCTATCACTGCTGCTCCCGTCACATTTCTACTGCGCCGTTTTTTGCATTTAATAAGGCAGAATTACAATGGCAATAAAAACAAGCAGGCACAAAAAGGAAGTTTCTTATAGAGTTAGAGGTTTATATGAAAATCCACAACGACTTGACGCATGAATGTTTGATCAAGAGAAGAGTATTGTCAGTGTTCTCCCTTTGAGTTTAGAGAAGATAAACTTTATAGATCTCTGATGGAGAGATCTACATGTCACATTTGGCACAGATAGAATCCCTCTGTGCAGGATATATATATGTAAAGTTAACTGAACTGGTTTGTTCAGTCCTAGTGCAGGTCATTAGTGAGTTTTAGACGATATAAAAAAGAAACATCCTGGATTTACAAAAAAACATAAATGATGCTTATTTTTTTAATGGTACGTTTTTTTTTGTTGCTTGAATGTAGGTTTTCTTATTTTCAGACTTCCCTTGTTTAAATAAAATAAGTTTGTGATGCTGTATTTTGGGTAAATAATCAATCAATCAATGCAATTTTATTTATAGAGCCCTACAAGCCCTGCTCCAGGACAAGCTCTCCCAGCTCAACGTGCCCGATTCCACCTGCAGGTGGATCACTGACTTCCTGACGGACAGGAAGCAGCGAGTGCGTCTGGGGAAGAATGTCTCGGACTCTCGGATTATAAATACAGGAGCCCCACAGGGCTGTGTTCTTTCTCCCCTGCTCTTCTCCCTGTACACCAACCACTGCACCTCCAGCCACGACTCTGTGAAGCTGATCAAGTTCGCGGACGACACCACCCTCATTGGACTCATCTCCAACAACGATGAGTCCGCCTACAGGAGGGAGGTGGACCGGCTGGTGTCCTGGTGTCTCCTACAGGAGGGAGGTGGACCGGCTGGTGTCCTGGTGTCTCCTACAGGAGGGAGGTGGACCGGCTGGTGTCTCCTACAGGAGGGAGGTGGACCGGCTGGTGTCCTGGTGTCTCCTACAGGAGGGAGGTGGACCGGCTGGTGTCCTGGTGTCTCCTACAGGAGGGAGGTGGACCGGCTGGTGTCTCCTACAGGAGGGAGGTGGACCGGCTGGTGTCCTGGTGTCTCCTACAGGAGGGAGGTGGACCGGCTGGTGTCCTGGTGTCCGCCTACAGGAGGGAGGTGGACCGGCTGGTGTCTCCTACAGGAGGGAGGTGGACCGGCTGGTGTCCTGGTGTCTCCTACAGGAGGGAGGTGGACCGGCTGGTGTCCTGGTGTCTCCTACAGGAGGGAGGTGGACCGGCTGGTGTCCTGGTGTCTCCTACAGGAGGGAGGTGGACCGGCTGGTGTCCTGGTGTCTCCTACAGGAGGGAGGTGGACCGGCTGGTGTCCTGGTGCAGTGGTAACAACCTGGAGCTGAACGCCCAGAAGACAGTGGAGATGATTGTGGACTTCAGGAAGAGCACTGTCCCCCCGCCCCCACCCTCCGTGATGGACTCCCCCATCACCTCTGTGGAGTCCTTCCGTTTCCTGGGCACCACCATCACCCAGGACCTCAAGTGGGAGCCGACCATCAGCTCCCTCATCAAGAAGGCCCAGCAGAGGATGTACTTCCTGCGGCAGCTCAGGAAAGCCAAGCTGCAGTTCTACACGGCCATCATCGAGTCCATCACCTCCTCCATCACCTCCACCATCACCTCCTCCATCACCTCCTCCATCACCTCCTCCTTCACCTCCTCCATCACCTCCACATCACCTCCACATCACCTCCTCCATCACCTCCTCCATCACCTCCTCCAACACCTGCTCCATCACCTCCTCCATCACCTGCTCCATCACCTCCTCATCACCTGCTCCATCACCTCCTCCATCACCTCCTCCAACACCTCCTCCATCACCTCCTCCATCACCTGCTCCATCACCCCCTTCATCACCTCCTCCATCACCTCCTCCATCACCTCCTCCATCACCTCCTCCATCACCTCCTCCATCACTTCCTCCATCACCTCCTCCATCACCTCCTCCATCACCTCCTCATCATCTCCTCCATCACCTCCTCCATCACCTCCTCATCACCTCCTCCAGCACCTCCTCCATCACCTCCTCCATCACCTCCTCCATCACCTCCTCCATCTCCTCCTCCATCACCTCCTCCATCACCTCCTCCATCACCTCCTCATCACCTCCTCCATCACCTCCTCCATCACCTCCTCCATCACCTCCTCCATCACCGTGTGGTTCGCTGGAGCCACAGTCAGGGACAAACAGAGACTACAGTGCATTGTGCGCTCTGCAGAGGAAGTGATCGGCCGCAGCCTTCCATCGCTGCAGGACCTGTACGTCGCCCGAGCTCGAGGCCGGGCTGGTCGTATCACAGCCGACCCCTCTCACCTGCACATGGACTATTCCAACCACTCCCCTCTCACCTGCACATGGACTATTCCAACCACTCCCCTCTCACCCTGCACATGGACTATTCCAACCACTCCCCTCTCACCTGCACATGGACTATTCCAACCACTCCCCTCTCACCCTGCACATGGACTATTCCAACCACTCCCCTCTCACCCTGCACATGGACTATTCCAACCACTCCCCTCTCACCTGCACATGGACTATTCCAACCACTCCCCTCTCACCTGCACATGGACTATTCCAACCACTCCCCTCTCACCTGCACATGGACTATTCCAACCACTCCCCTCAGGCAGGAGGCTGCGGTCCATCAGGACTAGAACCTCCCGCCACAAGAACAGTTTCTTCCCCTCTGCTGTTGGACTCTTGAACACTTCTTAACCTGTCCCCCCGCCCTTTATAAAGTCACTTTACTGCCCATCATACGTCACTTTACTTCACTGTACTGCTGTCACCTTACATTGTGTGCACCATGTGCACTTGTATATTGTAAATAGTAACTAACTCTATTTTAAATTTAAATTTATAAAGTGCTTTTTATTCTTTATTTTTTATGATCTCTTTCTGACTGTTGCACTGAGCCAAAGCAATTTCCAAGTCTGTGACTTCCTGTTACTTACGTGGCAATAAAAATGATTCTGATTAACAACACAGAAGGCGACCAAAGTGCTTTACAATAAAATCATATATCTGTTAAAAACATTCATACAACCAAACAACAAAACAGTCAGATAAAACCATGAGCTACTGAGTATTCAAAGCCAGTCTGAATAAATGTCTTAATAATAAATCAAATATTATAAAGTATTATAATAAAATAATTCTTGAAATGTATGTTTTTCTAGAATCAAGCATTCGAGGCTCGTGTTATTTTGTTATTCTCAGAAATCTAGTCAAGTCATATTTTCTTGTTCTATTGCAGATCATTTTAGAGCAAAACTTTGTCTATGAGCACTTCCCTATTGGGCAGGGATGGCTAACTGGTCACAGAGAAAGAGCCACAATCTTCAGGAAGCTCCAGGGGCCGGACCCAAATTAACATATTCTGGATTTGTGGCGGTGAGGCCCGGGGAGCAGCGAACAGACTTTTTAAATGATATTAATGATTAAACGGAACCTGTTACGACCAAGAAGTGAACGACACAAGGAAAAAAGCGGGAAAAAGACGACGACATTTTAACGCAGATTCTTTATGAAAACTCGTCGACTTGAAAAGAGGCAAAGAGCCGCATTCTGATTGGCCGAAAGCCGAAAGCAGATCGTGAGTCTGGGGTTTATACCTTTGCTATTGGGCTTCATCGAGCTAGCGGGTTAGCACTGTCCATCTATATACAGTCTATTGTATTATTATAACTAATCTTTTCATTTCAGCCTCAGCTACAATTGGTCCATACAAAAAAAGGGAGAAAACCGGGAATAAAAAAATACAGAAACAAAACTCGTGCCTAATGTCCATGCGGCCGCTGTAAACATCAAGGTGCTACTGTTAAAAATGACAAATATACTGTAGATCATTTGTAGATCATTTGCATCTCCTTTTTTACGCAAATGTGCTATTTCCCACAAAACACAAAAGTCTTGGATCAACATCAAATCGGTTCCATCATCAATGCAGATAAAGAGGCGGATTTTTCACTTTCTCGATTTGAATCACGACAAAGATAAGACAAGATTGACTTTCTTGATCTCTGATGGAGAAATGTACATGTGACATTTGTGTGAAACATGTTAAAGGTTAAAAATCATCATTCAAGACTTAAAGCAGTCTCTTCAGTTCAGCAGATGGTCACGAAGGTAAGACTTAGAGATGGCCAAATATCTTCGACTGTCAGTCAAGCTACTTTACCTGTTTATCACTATTAGGATTTTTACTGTAGTTTGTTCATTGCTATTCACCCGTTGTCCCATTGTCTGTTTCATGGTACGACGACGGGACCTCTGAGCCTGGCCTCCTCCATCTACACCTGCGGACTGCCCCGCCCGACCCGCCTGGGAGTGCTTCAGTCCTGCACCGGCCCTGTCCACGTTCTGTGGCTTAGGTCCTGGATCTACAGCCTCAGTCCTCGTTCTACAGTCTGAGTCCTGGATCTACAACCTCAGTCCTCGTTCTACAGTCTGAGTCCTCGTTCTACAGTCTGAGTCCTCGTTCTACAGTCTGAGTCCTGGATCTAGAGTCCTCGTTCTACAGTCTGAGTCCTGGGTCTACAGCCTCAGTCCTCGTTCTACAGTCTGAGTCCTCGTTCTACAGTCTGAGTCCTCGTTCTACAGTCTGAGTCCTGGATCTACAACCTCAGTCCTCGTTCTACAGTCTGAGTCCTCGTTCTACAGTCTGAGTCCTGGATCTAGAGTCCTCGTTCTACAGTCTGAGTCCTGGATCTACAGCCTCAGTCCTCGTTCTACAGTCTGAGTCCTGGATCTACAGCCTCAGTCCTCGTTCTACAGTCTGAGTCCTCGTTCTACAGTCTAAGTCCTGGATCTACAGTCCTCGTTCTACGGTCTGAGTCCTGGATCTAGAGTCCTCGTTCTACAGTCTGAGTCCTGGATCTAGAGTCCTCGTTCTACGGTCTGAGTCCTGGATCTAGAGTCTGAGTCCTCGTTCTACAGTCTGAGTCCTGGATCTACAGCCTCAGTCCTCGTTCTACAGTCTGAGCCCTGGATCTACAGCCTCAGTCCTCGTTCTACAGTCTGAGTCCTGGATCTACAGCCTCAGTCCTCGTTCTACAGTCTGAATCCTGGATCTACAGCCTCAGTCCTCGTTCTACAGTCTGAGTCCTCGTTCTACAGTCTGAGTCCTGGATCTACAGCCTCAGTCCTCGTTCTACAGTCTGAGTCCTGGATCTACAGCCTCAGTCCTCATTCTACAGTCTGAATCCTGGATCTACAGCCTCAGTCCTCGTTCTACAGTCTGAGTCCTGGATCTAGAGTCCTCGTTCTACAGTCTGAGTCCTGGATCTAGAGTCCTCGTTCTACAGTCTGAGTCCTGGATCTACAGCCTCAGTCCTCGTTCTACAGTCTGAGTCCTCGTTCTACAGTCTGAGTCCTGGATCTAGAGTCCTCGTTCTACAGTCTGAGTCCTGGGTCTACAGCCTCAGTCCTCGTTCTACAGTCTGAGTCCTCGTTCTACAGTCTGAGTCCTGGATCTAGAGTCCTCGTTCTACAGTCTGAGTCCTGGGTCTACAGCCTCAGTCCTCGTTCTACAGTCTGAGTCCTGGATCTACAACCTCAGTCCTCGTTCTACAGTCTGAGTCCTCATTCTACAGTCTGAGTCCTGGATCTAGAGTCCTCGTTCTACAGTCTGAGTCCTGGATCTACAGCCTCAGTCCTCGTTCTACAGTCTGAGTCCTGGATCTACAGCCTCAGTCCTCGTTCTACAGTCTGAGTCCTGGATCTACAGCCTCAGTCCTCGTTCTACAGTCTGAGTCCTGGATCTAGAGTCCTCGTTCTACAGTCTGAGTCCTGGATCTACAGCCTCGGTCCTCGTTCTACAGTCTGAGTCCTGGATCTACAGCCTCAGTCCTCGTTCTACAGTCTGAGCCCTGGATCTACAGCCTCAGTCCTCGTTCTACAGTCTGAGCCCTGGATCTACAGCCTCAGTCCTCGTTCTACAGTCTGAGTCCTGGATCTACAGCCTCAGTCCTCGTTCTACAGTCTGAGTCCTCGTTCTACAGTCTGAGTCCTGGATCTACAGCCTCAGTCCTCGTTCTACAGTCTGAGTCCTGGATCTACAGCCTCAGTCCTCGTTCTACAGTCTGAGCCCTGGATCTACAGCCTCAGTCCTCGTTCTACAGTCTGAGTCCTGGATCTACAGCCTCAGTCCTCGTTCTACAGTCTGAATCATGGATCTACAGCCTCAGTCCTCGTTCTACAGTCTGAGTCCTGGATCTACAGCCCGTCCGTCTGTGTGGATCTCTCTCTCAATGTGGATTAATTCGGAGCATGAAAACAGCAGAAGTCGTCCAACAGCGCCTCTACCGTGCCTCTAAGTCGTGGGGCGAGCGGGAGGAGGAGAGACAGGAAGCAATAAGACTCAGGAACGAGGAATTTTGAGCGACATGAAGAGGCTCCGGAGAAACTGAGGGAAAGATCAAAGCAGCGAGGGACATGGACACAAAGAGACAGAGAAAAGAGACTCCAGCTTCATCTGTAAAATACTACATCATTCTTTACCGTTATGGATGAGACTATTTATGATTTTACTTGTTTTATGATTTGAATAAGTCCTTTCTTGTGTAATCAAGCATTTTGTGTTTCTGTGTGTGTGAGTCTTGCTAAACAAACAGACTGGTCTTGAGTGGTTTTCCAAGCTATTTGGACAAGATCAAAAAATGCAATTATGTACATGGGTCGGTAGTCTATAAGATTGTCTTGTAACTATAATCGTACAAAATAATAATAATTCATTGGTTTTATAAAGTGCTTTTCAGACGCTCAAAGTCTCTTCACATCATCGTTCTCTCTCTCCAAACACGGTGGTGATAAACTACTGTAGCCACAGCTGCCCTGGGGCACACTGACAGAAGCGAGGCAACCAGTCTGTGCCATCGGCCCCTCCCACCAACCACCAACCACTCACACACACACCAGACTCATTCTAATGTGGGGGAAGTGTCTTGCTTAAGTAAAACATCTCCATCTTTATCATATCTAGTTCAAAAACTCTGACTTTAGCTTAATAAAGAGGTATAACATGTCTATCTGTAGCAAAATAAGAAGTTTATATTTTCACCACTGGTTCACGGGAGAAACACCTTTTGATGTGCTAAAAATACTCAATACCTTTTCAGGCAGGAGACACGTTTAACACTAATGAAAGCAACTTGCAAACTCTTAATTGGATA